GTTCTAGCAGGACAGATTTCAGGGTCAAAAGACAGGGCACGGAAGAGGGGTGACTGTTTTTTTTTTTTTTTAAAGAAGAGTGGTTCTGTGCTTAGGTGGGTTTTTACAACATTGACATATAGTCTTTAGCATCACAGGGTCCTAGAGCTAACTGCTGCTTCTGTTTCCAGAAGCATGACATGACGAAGAATCTATTTGCATTTTGTTTTTTTCCTCACAGTTGCTTATCCTGTTTAAAATATATATGAAAAGCAAAGGAAAATAAGCTTTCCGTATTGGAGTAGAGCAGATGCTATTTGTGTCCCTCTATCTTTGCCCTTTTGAGAAGAAAACATGTCTTCAGAGATTCTTCTCTGCCTTCCTCGTGGCTTCCTCCAATTACATGAATCCTTTGGAGACACCAGAAGCATATTTTTTCATTTTTGGTCTGCCTGGACTACACAAAGTATTTTATTGAACTTACAAATAAAAGTCAAGTTGGAAATTAGTTGAAGGATATCCCTTTTCCTAGAGACAGTTTAATTTTTCTAAGTAGGCATTTGCAATGTGTCCGTTATCAGAATATCTAGGCCAGGGTGGGCAATCATTTTTGCATGGGGGCTGCTCCAAAATTTTGGTAAGTGGTCATGGGCTGAACTTTTCTTTTATATTAATGAGGGGGTTCTGGGGTCTGAAATGAAATGTGTGTGCAGGAGGGAGCTCTGAGTAGAGATTGGGGTGCAGAGTCTGGGAGGGAGTTTGCATCCAGGAATGGGTGCTGACCGGGACAGGAGGCTAAGGTGCCAGGCGCAGGCTCTGGCCCTATCTGGAGGGTGCTTATCATAGGCAGCTCCTAGCTGGCGGTGCAGGAGAGCACTCAGGCAAGCAGGCTGCCTGCTTGCATGGGTGTACTTCTTGGGGAGAGGGGGAAAGTGGGCTGCTACACATTGCCCATGTCTGCAAGCACTGTCCCTGCAGCTCCTATTGGTCAGTTTCCAGACAATGGAAATTGTGAAGATGGCACTGGGGGCAGGTGCAGTGCACTGAGTACCACTGCCTCTCCCTGCCCCAAAAGGCAGGTAGAAACACGCTTCCTAACAGCAGCTGGCCACTTCTGGGAGCGACTCCCACTGGGCTGCGGGACAGTGGAAGGTCATGGCAGGCCAAAGGAAAATATTTTGTGGGCCAGATGCAGCCCGTGGGCCATATTTTCCTACCCCATCTCTAGGCACTGCTCACTTAATGTGACCTAGTGTAGCTCTCAAGTTCCTTCTATTGTATGAACCAAAGAGGATACAGTGAATTAAGATCAGTATCTGGACCCTCCCTCTCCTGCTTTCTCTCCAACCCTCTATCATCCTGGATGTCATTTAACCCTGCCTTCCCCTTTCAGTTTTGTCATAGCTCTGCATCTTGCCTTTAATTCAAAGAATGAGGTGAGCATCTCTGCTCAAAACACATGCCATTTTGTGACTTGGCAGGTGGAAAGTGGGAGAGTAATTAATGCAATTAACTGCCTAACCAAGCAAAAGGTTACTTGTGTCATGGGAAAAGGTACTTTCTATTTTTAAAACATATTCTCACCTTGATGTTCAGAGGGATTTTATGCCTTTGCCTTTCCAAACATCAGAATGAGGTTTATTAATAGGCGTAGTAGTGTTAAATTATATCTTGCAATTGATATTTTGTAATTTGAGGATTTTCTTGGCAGAGCCTTTGGTTTGACACTGTCATATTCTTTGAATAAATATACATTATGGCAGATACATAAATTATAAGGCCAGACGTGACCATTAGATCATCGTCTGACTTCTGCTATATACAGATCATTACATTTTACTCACCCACCCCTGCACTCAGCCCAGTTACTTGTCTGGCTAAATAACATTTTCCAAAAAGATATGCAATCTTGATATGAAGATATCAAGAAATGGAGATTCCACCACTTCCTTTGGTAGTTTGTTGCAGCGTTTATCTGCTCTCACTGTTAAAAGTTGTGCCTAGTTTCTAATCTGGTTCCTACGTGCCTTTTTCTACTGCATTAAACATCATATTAGTACCTGGTATTTTCTTCCTGTGAAGGTACTTGCACCACTGCAATCAAGCCACCATGTCTCTATCGTCTTCTTGATAAGCTCAACAGAGGAAACTCTTTAAGTCTCTTCATATGTCATTTTCTCCAGCCTTCAAATCATTGTTATGGCTTTTTTTCCCACTTTTCCCAGTTTTTCAACATTTTTTTAAAATGTAGCTACCAGAACTACCTCCAGCATTGTAAAGAACAGTAGTTAAACTACCTCCCTTCTATCCACTATTCCTACAGTTTGTGTATATCTAAGGACTGTGTTGGCTCTTTATGCCATAGCAACACAATGGGACCTCATGTATCAGCTGATTCTATTATTAGCTTTTTCATTATTTTGCCTGGGATGGATGTCAAAGTAACTGGACTTTAGTTTTCTGCTTGCCTTCTTGAATTGTGATACAACTTTAGTCTTCTGGAATTCCTTGGTAGTCTAAGATTAATTAAAAATTAACATTAGCAAGCTTGAGATAACTTCAGACAACTCTTCGAAGACTTTGGGTGCAAGCTAGTTAGGCTTCCTAATTTAAAAATGTTTATCCCTCCTAGATGATGTCTTAACATCCTGGACTGGAAAGTACATCATCATCCTCATGTGATTCAAACATATCATCATATTTTTTTTCTAAATACATAATACAGCCAATTAGTAAACATTGCCACTTTCTCTGAATCGTTATTAACATTTTAACTATTTCCATCTAGCATTGGGCCGTGTAAACAAGTTGCCTCCTCACACATGCCCCTTCTGTCTTCTGCCACACCTGGACTCTTCATCAGAGCTCTGTCCCACTGTCAGGACAGCAATACAGCCTTTCCTTCTAGGGTGCAGTCCTGCTTTTCCCAGTGGGAATTCCCACAGCCTCTCTGCTGGGAGAATCCTTGTCAGAGGAACATTATCCCTGAACCTTTCAAGGTTCCTCTGGGATGCAGTTCTCCAGTAAGGCGATGCCAGCAGGTAAGCCCTCTGCTATTCCCCTCTCCTTCAGCCCTTGCTGTCCCTTGGCCCCAGTGGAGAGCCAGCAGATATCTCCCTCTCCTAATTCTCCTGGCTACAACCATCCAGCCCTGGCTCTCTGACACCAGCCAGCAAAACCATCTTGCTGCTCTGCTGCCCTCTCTCAGGAATATCTCTCTCTCTCATATATTTCTTGCTGTTCCTGACTGAACCTATCTCGTCTGGGTCTCTTTCTCACCGGGCCTGTTATAGCTCCCCACATGATGCCCCACCTTCTTAATTGGCCTAAAAAGGAGCTTCTGGACTGGAACTTGAGCACTGAGCCTTGTTTCATGCCTATGCCATTGCTAGGATATTTATTCCTAATATATGTTAAAAAAATCCTTCCAATTTCTTTAGCCCTCCAACCATGAATTTTTCTCTGATGCCTTTAGCCTCTCATATCAATTTTCTACACTACATAACATCTAATTTCTATCAATGGATATCTGTTTTCCCTTTCTCCGTTTGTTATATATTATTATTTAATTCTAATTGCTGTCTTCACTTCTCCACTGAACCAGGATGAGCTTTTTGCCAAAATAGTTCTTTCCTTGATTGGAGAATTGTGGCTTTTTAGCCATCTAATAAACTCTTCAGAAACAATTCTTAACATTCATTCACATTCTGTCTACATATTTCTTCCCAATAAGTTTTGTTCATAATATTCTTCAGCAGTGTAAAAGTAGCCCTTTTTGAGAACCAGGTTTGTATATTACTGTGTGTGGGACTGTTCTCTGTTTGCCAGTATTGAATGTAAGAAAGTCATGATTACTGGTTCCTATGCAACCTCAAACTTCCAGTCCACTGAGTAATTTGTCTTTATCCGTCATAATCTGTCAATCATGCCAGATGTTGCTGGCAGCTGTTTAGTTTGAATATCTTTCTGTAAACGTCCTTGCTTTCAAAAAATTAAACAAAATTGTTTTTAAACTTTGAAATTACTCTTTTTGGCAAACAATAATGCAGTTATCACAGAGCTAGAATATTCTTTTATCCAGTTTGTTCTTACAGTAAAGAAATTGCATTGTGTGTGAACTAACTTTAAATAAATCAGTTTGCAGCTTTGCTTCACTTTGCAAAGGCTTCCTTTTAGAGTATCTTATTTTTCTTTGTTTATTGATCATTGTACAAAACAGGAGGGTCTCTGCATCAAGGGACATGTGTTGTCATTATTGTGAACCTATAAAAATTAAACTGCAACTGTTTTTGAGCTTTCACATTAATGTGACATGTTGATTGTTCCTGCAGAGAGGGCATACAAATAGAAAGCTATTTCATTCAGTAGATTAGCATTTCCAAGGACATATATATAGCTCCCTCATCTGGTGCACCATAGGAGAAAACATTTTACTTCCAAAAAAGTGTTATTTTTTATCCACCATTGAGAATTGTATATGGCTTCTGTACGAATTCTATACTTTATTTTACTTTCCAGGAATTTTTAAAATTCATTAATGATTTATAAACCCTTTTGATATTCTCTGAATGAAGGTGCCATAAAATGTATTTTCTTCACTGTTTATCATCACTTTTCAATCTTGGAAAATGGATTTATGTAAGTACAAGAAGTGGTGGTCTGGAATACGTGGAGGAACAATATGGCATGAAGTGGATGGCTGTGCTTAATTAAAAAGAAGAAAAAAATAAAATAAGATAATTTAGGGGAATATTTATTAATATTGTGCTAATTATGTACTGGAGGTTTATCTTTAGTTTAAATATAGCAATGATATTTAGGTTAGGTTTTTTTAAAAATTAGGTAGTTGTGTAGTGTTCTACCTTGGATGTAGAACTGATGAGCAAAATGTCTACATAGACTTTCATAGCTGATAAAATGAATTTGTTCAGTGTTTAAAAATTAACTAGTTGCATTATATTGCATGACTTTCATAAACTGAAATTGTATTTAACTGTTTTTTATCTGATTTTTTTTAACAGCTTTTACACTTCCAGATCTTACCGAACAGTTTTTGCCTCCTGACGTTGCTCCACCAATCCTTATCAAGATAGTGGAGGCTATTGAAAATAAAGGTATGCTGCTGAATAGTCTCCTAGTGTTTTAATTATGTTTATGAACAGGAATCACAGGATCAGGTCTAGAGTTTGTAAACTTCCCTACCAAGGGTTTGTGATGTATCACATTGCTCAGTTGGTGTTCAAGCAAATCTAGTCATAGCCTTATCTTGTCAAGATATGTGCTCAACAAAATTTACTTGGGTTACACAGGAATAATGCAGCTTACACCACTTGACACCTAGTAACCTGCCACAGAGCTAAAACAGAGATTATCCCAACATTTCAGGTTTTGAATAATATACTATAAGTATCCAACACAACAAGAGTAATTGCAGAAACGCTTTGCTATGAGAGAACAGAGAAAAACAGCTCAAAACGCTAAGTTTTGGGAGGTGCAATTTCCTCTCGAAGAGACAGTCCTTTGTTGCTACTGTCTGTTCAATCAGCCAGTATTTGTTTTATGCCCTTTGACTTTTCTCCCTTTCCATACTCCTAGATGTCCCTCTCTGCCCTGGTACCTTCTTCCCTATACCATTCTCCCCTTCTACTGGCTTCTCAGTCTCTTGTTCCTCACCTGTTTAAGTAACACTTTATCCATCTCTTGCCTTCTTACCCTCATCTTTCTCGAGCTTCTCTCCTGATGTCACCTTCATCAACCTTAGGTGGTCAGGTGATACCCACTGTATCCTGCTCTCTTAGAGGCCACGTAGCTGGACAACACAAGATTTGTGGGCTGGCTATTAATCAGCATCAACACTTTGAGGATTGGGAAGGCACAAAAGTTTAACGGATGGATTGGGGCTGCTGATGCCAGTACTGAGAGCCATAGACTAATGGTAGGCAACATCCTCAGTCACTGTTTCTAGGAGGCCTCGCTGGATGAAGCCTGTATCCCTTGGCATGCTCTTTAATTTAAAATATGGAGGAAAAAATCATACATTTTATTTCATTTAATTAAATCTTACATTTTATCCTTTCATTTGGAAGGATGTCTGCATTTTACAAAGTATACATAGGGGTCACTCCCTCCCCCACTGAAATGGGGCAAATACAGGGCAACTGCTAAAACATAACTGCAACAACACCTAACACTGACAACTTGTGTACTGCGTGTACGAGTATGTGATCAGTATCTCTGTAGTCAATAAAGTGAATATGTAGAAAACAGTTACTGATTGGTTTTGGGTAAGAACAGTAAAGTATCCCCCCAAAGGAAAAATAGCTCCTTCAGCTTTGGGTAACATGCACTGTCATAGTTTAATGAATTATGTATTTCCAAACAGTTTTTCAACTGTTCCTTTCCCTTTGAGGCAGACAGTATTGTCATCTTGCTCAAGTTGTATTTCTAGGGTGGCAGGCCCTGAACATCCCCTTCCTTTTGGTGGGACACTTGCTTCTACTTCATTTTCTCTGCCTCCTCCTTGCATCCCGTCTCTTCTCATTTTATGAAGGCACTTGGGAGAGACAGGAGCAATAGGACACACACAAGGGAGCAGTATTTCCTAGAGGGCTTAGGCCAGCTGTTCCTTAGCTGTAAAGGTGTGTAAAGTGGCAGGGAAAGTCTAGGTGTTTACTACTGAACTGAGCTCTGCTCCACTGCAGGCAGACCTTTACCTTGGCTAGTACCCACTCCTCCTTCTGCTGGTGTTAGACTCCTAAAGCTAGAGCTTGGTGACTTGTTTGAGGGTGGGTGAGAGAGTTAGGGATTGGCTGGATTTCTGCTGTTTCTTGGCTGGCAGTTTCTGCTGTCCCAGTAGTTTGCTGGCATGCATGCCAGGAATGAGATATTTTCCTGTTTGGTATGTTATTGCCCTATAAAACAATAGCATGCAGTTCTTTGTCATAATATATAAGAATTATACTAACTTATAGTGTAAATAAGGACAATAGAAATAGGTTGTTTCATTTATCCAATCTATTGTGTTTTTAAGGTCTGGAATGTTCAACGCTGTACAGAATACAAGGGTCAAGCAGTATTGCAGAATTAAGACAAATGTTTGAGTGTGGTAGGTACAATTGTTCTTAAAAATAGATTTTGTATTTAAATTGAACATTTTTTCTGTGCCCTCCATTCAAGCTTTATAATTTTGATATGTAGTTGGTATGGTTTTTATTCCATTATTGAAAAAATAGCTTTGAAGTTGAACCTCATGCATTTGCCATAATATTAATTTGTCTAGTCTCATGGAATAAATATTTTTCTCCAGGTCCCTCATTATACCGGTATTTTATCTGAGAATAATCACTTTAATGTATATTAGTAACTTAACTCTTTGAGGACAAAAACAAAACAAAACAGGGCTCTGGGAGAGGAAAGGAGTTGCATTCAGCAGCAAGATAAAGATGCACTGTCCCAATAATGCTGTGGGCTAAATTTTATTTATACATGTACAGCTGCATACAGTTTTGTGCATACATTAATAGAGTCAGCCTGCTGCTTCACTTGACTTGGGGGAAGGAGTTGAAGGAGATGCTTCTGGCTCTGTTGCATGTTCTCTGCCTGGTTCTGTGGTGTTGCTGAAGGAAGAGGACCTACATGATGATGCTAAAATGAGCAGGGATTTACGCAGTAGAATTCCTCCACCTCACATGTACAAAATGTGCCCCCAATTCCTGTGTCTCTTTCCACCTTCTCTGTAATGAAATCCTGGGACATGCACCTGGTATCTCTCTTCTCTGGCCCCTGCAGTAGCCCTAGTGGGGTGGGCAGATACCCATGTGGCTATTTGTCCTCTCACCTCCAGTCATGGGTACTAGAATTAGGGGTGCTGCAGCACTCCCTGGCATGAAGTGGTTTCCATGATATTCAGGGTTTACAGTTTTTCAGTGGCTCTCAGCACCTCCTCATACAAATTGTTCTAGCACCCCTGTGCCTCTATCTCCTTTAGCACTGGTAAATTGTGATTGTTAAAAATATAAAACCTAATTCTCTAATGGAGAAGAGCCACATCCTGTCAAATTGTGAAAGAGCTTTTTGAGCATTATCCGGGCTTCTGCGAGCTGTGGGAGAGAGCATGCATATAAATGTCCCCTTTCAGAGCAGAACATGAGGGTGCAAGGCATCATGTCACCGCATGAGGCTAAGAAGTGAAACTGATCACACATGGTAGTGTCAAAGGCACAAAATTGGCAAACTCTAAAAAGGGAAGTAATTTCTCTACTCTTTCAATTTTAGTAATTTACAAGTAGTTAAAGGTTAAAAATTGAGGAGGAAATTATTTTTTAGTTCACTATGTTTTAAATCTAGCTGGCATCATCTTGAGTGATGGGAGAGAAAAGTATGCAATTGTGGGGTTAGTAATAGAAGTTCTGTTCTTCAGCGCAGATTAAATACTGACTTTCCAAACCACAAATACTTGAAACTCTTAATTTATTGAAAATCCATATAGCATCTCACATATGAAATATACTTTTAGGAAAAATCCACCTGCGTCCTGAGACCACTGTAAATCTGGGATTTATCTATATTCTTGGTCAAATAGGGATGTAATAGAGTAGTCAATTAAGCGGGTGATTATCTGTTAACTTTACTGGCTACATGCAATTCATAAGAACATAAGAACATAAAAAATTTCCACTCCCTCCCCCCTCAGCTCTGCAAGTAAATATTTTAGAAGGCTGGCCAACAGGTTGGCTCACTCCCAGCTTACACTGGTCCTAGCATCAATCCCTTCTGCGGTCCCTGCATTATTAGGGGACTGGAGAGTCAGTGCACAGGCAGGATGGCTCAGTTCCAGCTCAAGCCGGGTCCTGGCAACTACCCCTGCTACAGTTCTGCGTTATTAGGGAACTGAGCTCCTAAAGTGCTTTTAGTACAGAGCCTCAATGGGTGTATTTGCCGGGACCCACCTCGAGCCAGGATTCAGGCAGCCTGCTCATGTGCCGGCTCTTAAAGTGTGTCTAATGCACAGCCTCAGTGGGGGTTGCTGTTGGCATCCAGTGCGAGTGGAACTGAGACAGCCTGCCCACATGCCGGCTCCCAGTAATAATGCAGAGCTGCAGTGGGGGTTATTGCTGGGACTCCGCTCAAGCCAGGACTGAGTCCTTGCAGTGCTAACCCTTATCGATTAATCCTGTAGTCGACAAATTTTTGTCAACTACACAGTTAATGATTTACTCACTGCTTAACATCGGAAGTTCAAAATTTAATTGGGTTGGAAAACTGAAAAATGTGGCTTTAACCTTTGAGGAACTGATTGTCCTTCATTCTTCTTGAACAGTGCTGACATTATTCCAGTAAACCAGTAAAGGTGATCAAAAAATTAAGCTCACAACAACAGCAACAACAAATAGCTTGCTCTACATCAAATAGGTCCCTTTCTCACTAATTCTCTAGTTTCAGTAGTCTGCGATATTTCTTAGAGACGCTGGACCAATGTCCAATGGAACCCAGACTTGATCCAGCTTGATCCAGCTTGATCCAGCATAGATAATTAAAGCTATTATTAGTGATTAGTGTAGTGTGAGTTTTTGCATCAAATAAAGGTGCTTTTTAAAGAATTATTTCCCTGTTGTCCCCTATTCTCCAACCCAAATTATTGGGCCCTTTAGAACTTTTTGGATTTAGGAACATTTGTGAGAGCTTCAGGTCAGACAGGAAATCTGTCAGGCTTGTAAAAACACTTCTAAAATTGTAATATGATGATTTTGACTTCTTGACCTTTATCCCAAGTCGTAATTACACTAACACACCACAAGCCATTGAAACTGTGCAAATTCAGATAGCTGATCATGAAACCAAGCACTCAGTTCTTCAAATATATCTATACATGCTTCAGTTTATTCACATAAGTGTTTGTAGGTTCGGAACTTGATTCACTAATCAAGCTACCAATAAAAATACTGTATCTGGACCCATCCCTAACTGTGGATTCCTTCTTACTATAGTAGTGTTTACACAAAATATTTACATGTAAAACAGACCCATTAAAAATATCCTGGTGTCTTAATAACTTGCAGCCCTATATATTACAAATATTGCCACAAGCATCATTTGTAACTTTTTGTAGTAACATTTGAAAAGTAGGTAGACCCCAGGTCTTCTTTATATAATTTAAAAGATTGGTTTATAAAGAAAATAAGGTGTTTTTAAACACTGTACTTACTTCAGAAATAATACCAGTGAGGGTATAATAACCTTCACTATGGGCCATCTGCAGAATTTGAATTCAGGACCTTCATTGCCAGTACATATAGCACTACCACTTTCAGTAGTAATTCTATCAGGTAGCAGATAGAGTACATTGCCAGTCTCTGTGTAGATTACCTGTAGAGGGGACATGAGACACCATGTTACAAAACCATTTCTTCAGTAGGAGAATTTGTGTTCTTATACCATTTTCATGGTATTTTTATACCATTTACTATGTGTTCTTATACCATTTACATGGATATTTTCCTGCATTGGATATTAACTCCTGTGCATCGTTTACAACTTATCATTTATTAGTCAGAATCTCTTAATGATTGAAGGCGCCGAACCCTGTCACTTAATACAGTATATTGAACAATTTTGGTATCTGCTGTGAGAATTCACTGTACGTTGTAAATACAGACTGAGCACCTCTGATCTGGGACTCTCTGATCTGGCAACATCTGTGGGCTGGACCAGAGAGCTCTGGCGGCTGGGAGTGGAAGTCATATGGGAGTTTGACTGGAAGCAGAGCCAGTCTGGCTGCCAGGAGCCCAGCTGGGGATGGGAGCAGAGCTAGTCCAGTGACTGGGGGCCAATGGCCAGGAACAGAACCAGGCGGTGGGGCGAGCAGCAAGGAGTTGGCATCCGGAGCCCAACTGGAGCAGAGAGCAGAGCCAGTCCAGTGGCTAGGGGGAGCTGTGAATATGGCCTGGGCCAGGAGTGGAGCCTGTCTGGTGTCAGGGGGCAGCAGCCAGGATGGGACGTCAGCAGGGAGGCTGTTGGTCTCCCAGCAGAGCCCAGAGCTCTGGAGAGGGGTTGCAATTGATCTCCCCTAGTCTGGCAAACTCCCTCTTTCAGGTCCCAATGGTGCCGGGCCAGAATGGTCCAATCTTTAATACTTTTCAGCAAAGACTCATTTAGATGCCTTCAGAAATTTCTTACAAATTGTTCTGCATAAATCAGAGTTAGGTTTTCTGTGCTGGTTTAATATGAAATGACAATTGTAAGGTCTTCTGAAATTTTTAAATTGTATATGTCTGGAATTTTTCTTCAGATGCGTCAGTGGATTTTGAGCAAACTGATGTACAGATCTTATCAGATGCTCTCAAGAGGTATCTCCTGGACCTGCCAAATCCTGTCATTCCAGCATCTGTTTACAGTGAAATGATTTCAGGAGCTCAAGGTAGGAATGTGAAAGTATTTCCACTCACAGGGGGAAAAAAAGTATGTTGGGGTCATTAGTAGCCAGCATAAAGTGGCTGATACTGTCTTGGCCTATATTGCAGAAGATTTTTGCACACCACAATAAGTGGTGCTCATAAAAGAAACAAAATGTCTTTTAATCACATACTATATGTTTTGATAAAATCTTCTGAAATTACTTAATAATAAATATAATGAAAATTGTAAGCTACTATAATGTTTGCTGTGTTCAGTAAGTAAGAATAACTGTGCATGCACTGGTTAAAAAAAATCAAGGACTTGTGTGCAGAAGGACTTTCTGTGTGCAGAAAGAGCTAATTGTTAACCTTTTATCAGTGCTGGCAAAGTAAATGTATTAGAGAACACAGTGTTCTGAAGTCCATTGGCAGTTATGGAATACAAACCAATAAGTATGTGAATATAAGGTTCATCTTCAGTAATGGTCATTTCAGAGAGTACAGTTGATAACTCTCAGTATGTGGGCCTATCACATGTGCTAGGGGCAGGACATTGTGGCTGGTAACCTTCAAAATTAGGAAAGCACCTGTGGATTCTTATCTACTGCATCTCAGAATTACCCAATCACGTATTACACTAAACACAAGACAGACTTCTACCAGTATGCACTGCACATATTGTGGTTTTTACCAAACAAATGTTCTGTTTCCATTTTACTTTTATATAGTTGTTTTCTTCTGTTACTTGAGTTTTTCACTTTTGCAGAAGAAGAAACAAAGAGTCCAGGTTCTAGTGAAAGACAGACTATTTTTTTCTGTAAAATTGATATTTACCCCAGGGGACTATGTAAAGGTTTCAGTTTACTTGTTGAATGTTGCTGCTCTGATATCAAAAGACTTTTGTCTATTTGCTTGCAGAAGTTCCGAGCTCAGACGAATATGCTCAATTGCTGAAGAAACTTGTCAGGTCTCCAAATATACCTCACCAGTATTGGCTCACTCTTCAATATTTACTCAAGCATTTCTTCAGACTTTGTCAAACCTCCAGCAAAAGCCTCTTGAATGCAAGATCCTTAGCTGAAATTTTCAGCCCTCTGCTATTCAAATTCCAGTTAGGAAGGTATGTGAGACATCTTAATTAATTTGTAAACATGATAATGTGGCTTTGTTTTACAGAATAGTGAATAAGTTAATGTGTAGGAGTAGTGCTCATGCTGTTATGACTTTTTAAAAGCATTAATGTAAGCGTTTATATTTTTCTACTCTTATTATGTAATCAATGTCTTTCAGCTCTGATAATGCTGAACACTTCATAAAAATCCTAGAAGTTTTAATCACAAGTGAATGGAATGAGAGACAGCCTGTACCAGGTAAAAAAAAAAAATCATAGTTTGCATTTTAAAAAGTAATTATCCATGGATGATATTTAAAATGTTCAGAAAGCAGTTTGGTGGCCATTATAGATTCATTATTATTTTCTTCAAATTAAGTAAATTCAATGTAAAATGCATTTAAAGTAATAAAATTATGGGTGTAAGCTGATATGCAATAGAAGTTAACTTTTGTTTTCAAGGAACTGTCTTTTACTCTGAAATAGTTTTTCACTGAATAATTTGTGCAGATTATTTCATAGCTGTAGAATTTGTATTGTTTATTATTGAACACAGTATGAAAAATCAAGAATGTGAGATACATGTGAAGCATGTACTTTTTATATTCCTTGCTATTAAAAGCGGACAAATTCTGAAGTCAGCTTTTGCTCACGCCTTTCTAAGCATATTTCTTCAAAAGAAATGTGCCCAGTGAGGATTAATTAAAGAACTCATATTTGGTCCTCTGTTTAGCTATGTGTATTTTTCAACCCCCATGTGTGGAAGGATTTTTCTGTCAAAACCTACGTTCTTATTAGGGCACTTACAATCAAAAGTGGTTCAGGATAGCTAGTTGACACATTTTCACTGTATGTGCTAGCACTCAGTTCATGCAAGCAAAGGTTAGTGCTACTTTATGTAATAGATTGTATTTGGAATCAAGTGTTCCTCTTTTTCTTAGAATGGGTGAGGCAGTGGTGCTAAACATCTGCAAAGAAACTTGTTGCTGTGTAACGCGACTTTCTCACTTCAGAAAAGCAAGCACATTTTAATCTAGAGAAGCTGAAAGCGATGGCTTACAGTAATTCACTTTACTACATATTAGCAAAAGGTACTTTAACAAAGAAATGGCCAACATGAACAGAACTTTGTTTTTATGTTCCTCCCTCTCTGCTTCCAAAATACTGTAAAGAGATCACTGCAGTAAGGTCTTGAAGGATTGGGTAAGAATTGGAAGAACTAGTGCAGACTTCTTAAGGCATTGGAACAAAATATCTTCCAAAGCTACTGTACATTTTTCCATAGCGTCTTATAAAAATGTGTTTGGAGAAGCCAGGGGGGTACATTTAGAAGAAACTGAGTCCTCAATTGAGTAGAGAAAAAGGTTCTTCAAGTGGAAGGGATCAAAAATATAAGAATGACTTTTCATATTGCATTGAACATCTGTATGTAACTTGCACATAATGGATTAAAGAACATTTTTGTTCTTGCCATATGTTATTAGCTTTGAAAATTAAAATAAACATTAAATCCCATGGTATTGCAAAGAATTGTAAGTGCAGATAGCATGGATTGGCACGAAAAGGTTAATAGTTGTGCACACAATTTAGAAATTGAAACTTATGCAGCTCCAGAGACTGGAAGGTTGGTGGATGTTCAATATGCTAGTGGAAGTATCTTAAATGGCAGTTATTCAGACCACTTTGCTGCACTGAGTGATTAGCTATGATGCTCTCGAAAATGTTGATAGAAAAGGTGTCAATGCTAGGAGAACAGACTGGGGATGTGGAAACCAATTATTCTGAAATAATCGTATATTTAGGTTAGGACAGAGCACAGGTGTGTCTGCCATACTCTGAGGAATTGATGCTACAATGATTTTCATTGAATTACTAGATAGTTATTTTTTACAAATTCTTTTGAGGTAACTTTGGGATGGATATACACATTTTGGAGATTCTACTTGCACGGCCGTTTTAACCTATCACTGGACCTTAGACAGATATGCACTGTTCCAGGGCCATTGAAGAAGGGAGGCTGGGAGAGGAATGAAGAACTCGCCTCACAGTGGCAGCTTCTGTTCCATGGGTCTTCACCCAGCTCCCCACTCCACTTGCTGTGGCCTAGCAGACAAAGCCATAGTGCCTGTTGAGTTTGGCCCATCACTAGTTGATTTATGATGTTGCAACCTAGCACAGAGTGTCATAGTACCTTTATGCTTGAGGGGCAGCCAGGCCAAACTGAAGCCATGCTGTGACCCTACATGCCAGGAGTGGGGAGCCAGCTGAGCCCCCAGGTGCAGGAGCTTCTGCAGCAGGGTGAAAATGGGACGGGCTTGCTTTCTAACATCCTTCCTGTGTTTCCTTTCAACTCTGGTCCATGATTGCAGTGCCAGGGCAGTGTGCGCTTTGCAGGGACTCTGCATGCCCTTGGTAGGACAAACAGGAGGAGGACTGTGGGCTATGATTTTGGGTTTCCCCGTGACTGAGAGCCCTAGGCACATGCCTATTTGGCCTCTGTGTTAATCCAGTCCTGACTACTAGGTTTAACTCTGCATTTTGATAGGATCTGTTATAAAAATTTCCACTGTTATCAATATATTTCAAAATGCATACATGGCAAAAGGGCATTCTGTGTAGTAATTGCCATACTATACATAATTTTTCAGTTCAGTATAACATCTTCACATCCATTAACGTGTAAGCCAGAAGGTTTCGGCCAAAATGTCAAACTTGGCAGCCTCTGATTACTTCCTTTCAATCCTGCTTCTGAAAAGACTTTTGCTTGTGCTTAACTTTGCATGCCTGAATATATATATTTTTTTGACAAGTTGAGCATGTGAGTAAATCTTTGCAGGTTTAGGATCCAAATTTCTGCTTGCTCTCCTGAGAAACTAAGTCATTTATTTAGAAGGACAGAGTTGCCATAGCTCCCATAGAAGATTTAAGGACACATTTTTAAAAGTGTTCAGCCACCAGCAGCTCCTTACTGTTCCTAAATGGAAATTGTGCTCTCATGAAAATTTGGCCCCTCATATCATTTAGGTAGCTAAACTAGAACTTTTGACTTTATTGCTTTACAATCCTAACTGAATTGTAATAGCTATGAATAGGGAAGAGAAATTTGCAATTTACGAAGGCAGGGATGCAAAGCTGTCTCCCAATGCCCTATAAACCACACACAATGTAAATGTTCTATCAGACAAAAGTACAATAAACTGTGGTTTGTGTATGTTATATTTTAAGATGACACAAAAATGCATCAGTGGGCTTCTGACTGTCTCTAAGAAAGTGTCTCCTTCTCTTGTATGGCTTTAATTTGCTGAACATTTTCCCTTCTGAATGGAAAATCTGTCATTTCTAGATAGTTCAGAGGTATATTGCACCATAACTGAGGGTGTGTCTAGACTACAGTTTGTTTTTTTAAAGTGGGCTTTTTTCCAAAAAACTTCACCTGCGTCTAGACTTCTGCCGCGTTCTTTCGAAATTAAATCGAAAGAATGTGGCAGTTTGTTCGACAGCAGAAAACCTAATTTTACAAGGAATAACGCCTTTTTTTGAAAGTGCTTTTTCGAAAAAAAGCGCTATTGAACGCAAACAGGGCTTTTTTGAAAAAGAGTACCCAAACTGCCTGGGTGCTCTCTTTTGAAAAAGTGGCATGCTTTTTCGAAAGAAGTGGTTGCAGTCTAGACTCTCTCTTTCAAAAGAGGCTTTTTCGAAAGATTATTTGACAAAAGCCTCTTTCAAAAGAGGCTTGTAGTCTAGACATACCCTGAAAGTCTAAAAATAGCACACCCTTAAGCCTATGCAAAATTCACTGACAAAATTAATTTCTTATATCTGGTATGCTGCAGAATATTCATGTGCTGAAATGTTGTTAATCAGGCTCTTTGACAACTCTGGCTTGACCTTCAGTCAGGGATGCTGCCAGATACTAGAATAAAGTAAGTTTCCTAAAAAAGTGAAAGGTAACTTTCAGCGATCTTTTTCTGGACTTGAGCAGTCTTTGACAACTCCGATTAAAAGGAATGTCAAAGATGAGAAATGGAAGGACTTAGATTAAGACTTCTTGATTAAGACTTCTTAATAAAGTTATTTCTTTTTGCCTTTGTGTTTGTCTTTTTTTCCAGTTACCCTTTAATCTGGAAAGAAATATGTTTGTCTAATATGAGTTGTGTATGAATTTTAGTGGTATCATATACAGGATAGAGATGTTTTAATTGCGTGGATTAGGTTTTTTTAATCCACATTTTTTTCTCTCCATGTAGCCATAGGAAGTGAGAAAAATAGGCCCCTGTATGTTAAATAGAGCCATGTGCAGCTTTTCAGCTGTATTCATATAATGAGTACTCTAAGGCAAAAATAGAGCTTGTCCCAAGGCCTACGCTGGTGTATGAAATAATGATTAACCAATTCCATTTTCAGTATTACTTTGTTCCTTGCTAGTTCTGTATAACTATTCAGTCTTTTGACTGGAATTAGTACATAAGTCAGATTTTGTCAGTCTATTTTTTTTTACTTCCAAACTTGATCAGCTAAATAAAAATATAAAGGTGTGGAACAGGTAAGGGTGTAAGAGATTTCTTCTAATCCTGTTCAAGTCACTGGAAATTTTGACATTAAATTGATAGGTGGCAAGAAAGTGGGTGTTCTTTATATGCCATGCAGTATTCCCTATAAACTGTGCACTTAGGAGCCCACCCAAGAGAGATTCAAATGCCACCCAGCTGATTATCAGAGCGCCCACAGTTGCCCACAGCCAGCAGCATGGGCACGTCCACACATGTCTCTGTGCACATAACAAAATGTATTATGCACATGGATGGAAAAATTTTATAGGGAATGTTAATACCATGTGAAATAAAGTGCAAATAGAAAAGTAACTATATTACAGATTAAAAATCAAAGTGCATGCCCTTTTACATGAATATATTTTAAAAGAGTATTTGGGAATTGAGGCAATAAGCTCCTCCAGGTGTAAGAAGCCAGCTAATTGTTCAGGTCATGAGTGATGTTCTCAGTATAGCATGGTCATGGTGCTCCCAGGATATTAAAAAAGACAAGGCAGGTGAGGAAATTTTCATCCAATAAAAGATATTACTTTGCCAGTGACATTGGCTTTTCTGTACAGGCTGCTATGCCAATTTGTTCCAGGCTTGTAAATAACATTTGTGATAAATGTTACAAACTTTGGTATGAAATGTCAGATTTTACAGTTTTTGTGGGTCAAAGGTTATATATGAAGTGATACGATTATCTTACACAAACTGTCACTTGTTG